GCAGAGAGACACAGGATTGGCTGCGGCCAGGTGGTCCAATATGTCTGCGCCCTAATCCGACGCCACACCACACCACACCATACCACACCAACACTACAACACTACGCATTTCGTCGAAATCCTAAATAATTGTGAGTCTAATTGTCGTCTTTGAACTCCTACTCTTTAATTGACGAATTTTTAATTACTCCTGCACTTTGTTAATATCATTCTTGTGGCCACTGGTAAAGGAACTTGTGCGCTGTGTACATACCTTACTGGTTCATGCGAAATGACCGCGCTTCGTTTGTATCTAAAAACACCCAATACTTGTATAAAATCTTATTCCCCATTCTTTTCAATTTAGTGATACCCCAAACATCTGAAAGAGCACATCAAAATGGCTAATAGAGGCACAGTGTACTCAAAGCACATAGCGCTGCTTGCTAGCAGAATTTTCGGCGATTGCAGCTCTGTTTATCCTCCACCAAAAGTCGTTCGATTGATGAGTGAAGAACCGGAGGCAATGAAAATCAGGGATTGGTACCCTCCTTTAGAGGAGTATTCCAACATTCTTGCTACACTTCGGCGCGTCGGGCTCTTCCGTGATGAGCACGCCGACTTTAGGGATGAAATGGATCGCCTTCGGGCTCTAAGAGGAAAGAAGAAGTGGAATAAGGGTAAAACTGATGACAGTGTTTAATATTATGATCTACATTTATGAATATATTTTTGCTATCTCTGTTAAATCCATGCTTCATTTAATTTAAGGGCTTCCGCCACGCGTGAGATTTTGTAAGGTCTTTTTTACTCTCCCCATAATCAGAATGATATTAGTGTTTTTCTATTGACTTTAAAATTGATTTGTCGATAATGAAGACCTGTAACTACTGGTCTCCTTGCCCAGTTTTGGTAAAAAATCGGCGTTTGCAACTTGGGAAATAACGGGTAGTCCACGAACTTGGTCGAGCTACAATACAACCGATGACATAACTCTAGGCTTAGTATTTTTTAGCTGGTCACCTCTTTAGTAAGCATTGTTTCTGTGCCAATGTAATGACGCATGTCGTCTATTTGAATGAATCATGTCTTTTAATAACAACAAAACGTCATACCTCGCCTAATTCTCGCAAACATGCTTCCGATTTAATCACTATTTCTCTTTATGTAAGGTTTTAATACCGATTGATTCGTCTCTTTGCACTGTGTTGTGTACTCAAGACGCAGGGCCGTCCTAATTTACATCCAAGTCGTAGGATTACGATAAGCGTTTGGTCATATTTTTTGGTCGAAAATGGCGGCTCTAATTTCGCCCCTCCCAACTCCAAGATTACTGTCGCCATAATTGAGGGAGGGCATCCAAGACAAAAAGATTAAATCCTACACAACCTGCGCAAGGGTCTCCCGTTATCGGGCCTGCAAGTTATTTGCAGGAGCTAAGTCTAACCCAATTATTTAATCACTCTTCGGATTTTGTTGTGTATTAGGTGGATTTTGATCAGTAAAGTCGGAAAATAAGAGTTAATGCATGAGATATTGTTGTCGCCCTTACGCATCTCAACAACAACAGCAACTCCTAAAATTCGCCTTGCCTGGATATATTGGACACACTGAGTAATCAGCCGTTGGTTGTTATACCTTTATTCCTGATGCATGTCTCCCAATTAACGTAAGTCTGCACCGTACAAGAAATCATAAGTGTCGGCTCAAATTTGCGCAAAGCGACTTTGGAACGATGATTATGATCTTGAATTTCTCACCAAAGTTCATTCCGATTCCAATTAAAAACCCCCATTGAAGTGACGCCGTTAGAAGACCGTCTCACGCCACTCTTCGCATTCACAATAGCTTAAAGAAATGTCGCCATGCGGTGGCAGTTGGTTGATGAACTGCAAAATTTTCAGCTAGTGTACTTGGATATCGGTGATTCATTTTTGTCAAATGGAAGATCTTTGAATGAGTTAAGCAAATACAAATGTTCTCAATAGTAATGACAGTACAAATAGGAGGACTATTTACAGGTTATGTAAGCAAGACGAGAGGACAGTGGCTATTCGCATGGTCTTTTGTCGAACAGGAAGCCAGCAGAAGACGCCGCTTTTTCAACGAAGTCTTCTGAAGACCGCGCAGTCTCAAGGTGCTGCATAATTACCGCCAACCTCTGGTCCACGTCCACTGGGTGGTGGTGGCACTCAATTTTCTTGGTGCGTTGGGACAACAGCTTAGTTGCAAGGTACTCTAACCACAGAACGTTGGTTCGAGGACGGAAAAGACTCCAGTCGTCTCTGTAGAGTGATGAAAGTGGTACCATTTAGGGCAAAAATGTATCCACATCAAGGTAAACGCCTCTGTCTATTACAGCTAAGCCTAACTTTGTGTGAAGAGGTAGCTCTTACCCAACCTCTTGTCGCATTCGGCGGTAGATTTCGAATTGAGGGTCACCATCGCCACTGAACAACTCCTGATCCTTGGAAAGGTCGAGGAAAAGCGGTTTGTTGACTGGAAGAAAAACAGAATGAGGTTATGTGATGCCTAAGTCAACGTGGAAAAAGGCATACCACGATTCGATGCCTGAAATACGAATCAGCAATTTCGCCTATCATCTTGCCACGACCGAAGTCATTACTTTTGAGCATTTCATAAGGACATACACTAATAATGGGAGTCTAAGCGTAGTCTCCTGATTCTTGAAACGTACGCAGGAGGCGCCGGCGTGCAAATGCCGGACATAAACAGTTTCGAAAACTCTACCTTCTTAATAAATCGATATCAATGCGGGTTGTTTTTGAAGTAGTTTCGCAGACAGCAATCTCACCATGATCAAGCCGCGAAAGTGTAAAGTCAACTACGCTGACTCTGGGGCCACGACAGGGATGGTAGGTCACCCCATTCACAGTTGTAGTGGGAGGCACAATTTCGACACAACAATCACTCGGGCCGTCGCCATAGTCGATCAACAGGTTACCCCAATGAAGATCTCTGTGTTCGAACCGAAGCCTGCGCTCAGCAACGGCCAGAGCGAGTGCAGTCTGGGTGAATATGGACAGTCGGGCAACAGGACACGACGGCTAGAATGGAAAGGCAACTTAGTGCTAGTGACTAGATGGTGAATGTTGGCGAGCAGTAAACATTGCCATTGCATATCGCAACAAAGGCACTAATTGGTGTTGTCTGTTAAAACTTCGCATGAATGTTAATCGAGAAAGTAGGAAAGAAATCACATGAATACATGTTTGGTTCAAATTACCATTTGAAATTCCAAAGGGCCTCCACAAAGTACGCACTCCAGGGCCATCCACTTTTGACTTCTTGGAAATATTTCTGCAATGTTTGAAAGACGGTGAGGCATTTAATCGGGTCTCAGGAGAGAAACCGGTGGAATTTTGGTGCTTACTAGGGTGATCGTTTTCAGATCCTTTTAACCGACGAAAATGCTCCCAGGCCTTGATCAAGTACGCGGGCAGTTTGCCGTGCAGAAGGCTCACTCGCTTAAGCTGCGCAAAGTTCTCCGTCTTGTCGAGTGTGCCGCGCGTAAGACGAGTGACCTCCCGAGATGCAATTACGTCAGAAATGACCTCCATTGCATTCTTCTGTACTTCTCCATTGAAGAGGACGGAGCCTTCAATTGGAAAGAGCTTGATCGCTACGTTCTCCTGACGACAAGCAAATACCTCACTGAAGGTCCCCTCACCGATCTTGATCACGCTTTTCACACGACTAGACAAAAATACCGATGCAAGGTGAAGGTTTGGCGCTAATGAAACGGATGCTCACGTTAACGTGCATCGAGGTGGGGAGTGGTGGAAATGAGGTAAGGTGGAGCAATGAATGATCACGCAAGGCTGCAGGAGAGTTGTCATGCACACCGTCAAACCTAACATCAGTTTGGTCGGCCTTTTATGAATGCATCTGCATGGTTTTTTCTTCAACTGTGACTCCTATTAAATCGTTGTTAGTTACTAAACATACAGTTGGCTTCTGCTCGGAACTTTGTACGCGCCAAATACGGCTTTGAGGTATTCACGCAAAACTAGACCGATTGTGTTCAGTCTTGCATGATCATATTTAGGTTGACAGGTATTTAGAGTAGTTAATTGAAGGCTGTACCGGGCACAAATGCAGCACTAGAGCAAATATAATCGAAGGTTTGGTTCAATGGAGATCAAACGAACGGACGCAAATCAATAACTTGGACGTTTAGAATGAGAAGATCCAGGAGTATTTAAACTACTGCATTCTCTTCAGAAGTAAATTAGAGCGTGCATCCCTCCGAGCTGGAATGGTGTCACTTGTCAGTCAACACGACTACATCGGCACTTAGACTTTTGGGATTACGGAATATAAAATCAGAATTGTACTTTAGGCCACGACGTAAGCATCGCCATCTTTGGCTTCTTGGAATAACGCCAATAAGGATAACCACTATTTTCATCGATGCCACATTGCGACGACATGTTGCCGTGATTCCGATTGGCTGTCTGCAAAGTCAAGTGTCGAAACATTGTTTTTCAAGCCTGATAGAACAAAGTGGAGGGATCCTAGTTGCTGCAGAAGAATAGTTTCACCAGTTTCTGAAAAGTGGTTTGAACCAACACAGGCAACACGTCATGTCGGGCACCGTGACAGGAACCAATCAACAACAAGCATGCAACTGTATCAGTACATACTTCTTTGTGAAAACGTGACTGAATGGCATTGGACGATCTTGGTGGGACAGTTTGAGCAGGACACTGTGCGCATCACCCCGACCATAGGCTCGGATGTAGGACTCATCAAGAGAATTTTCCGCAATCTGAAAGACACGCGTCAATCGTTTTAACCACGCGTCCGACTTCTTGCCGATCTCTGGTTGGTCCTGCTTTTTCTCCCTTTCTGCTCGAGAAGCATGCGACATGCGTGGAACTTCGTCTCCAACAACATGAGAGGTTGGGAGAGGGCTTCGTAGCTCCGTCGTTTGAGCCTTTTTAATAACAAACAATAAAAAAGGTAATATACGTCACAAGGTAAAGACCCATCGGGCACTGGAATGTCGTATAAAAAGTCAAACTTTGTGAGTTTATTACACTGAAACTCCTACTAAGCTACCGTTTAGGGGTGCGTTATAGATACAGATAAAGATATTGCTGTGCATCGCTATCTACAGCATGTCAGTAATGTAATCAATTTAGGAAACAAAACGTTGGGCGTAACACTCACTATATGTTCTGCGGAAGGAGACATAGTGTGCGGAATGGGCGTTATCTTGTGCATATCGATGGATGGCCTCTTAGCAAAATGCTGGCCTGGTGTGCTGAAGACTACCGGCTCTGCCTTTTCGACTGCTTCCCTGTGCCAGCCAACCTGTCCATTCTCATCTGTTTCTGCACCGCAAGAACGCATAATTAGCATCGAAATGACAAAATTCGAATATAGGCCAAACGGTATGAGAAAAATTCAAAGGGAATTGTAAAAGACCCTCCTCCGCTCGGCTCACATGCATTTGTTTTAAAAAAAATGGACATGGAGATTATATAAGGCAGCAAATACACTTTTTCAGAAGTCCGATTTAACGCAATAGCTCATATGAGAGAGCAAGACCTGTTGGTCATCCAAATTAAGCAACCAACTGTGAAGTATGGTGATGTTCTATAGATCCCGCAAAATCCGTGAATTGCTTTGGCGATAGCTAAAACAAATTCGTTAAGGTGTACAATTATTACATTTGAAATAAAACAATTATAAAACAGACCCTACCAGTTGTGTCTTGATGTATAACCGAAGCGTCTGAGTCGGTCGTCGTCACGAGTTGATGCCTCTCGTATGTGGAGAAGTCGGTAAGTTGTGCGGAGCTAAGCTCCACAAGGGGTTTCCGTTTTTGATGAGTTAATTTAGACCTGCCATTGGAGAAACATCAATTAAGAATGCAGTGCAAACGTTTCTGACCAGTAACAACTGATTAACGGTTGCTTGAGTATTTCTTTTGGCATTATACATTCCAGATTCTATGTTTACTTATATGTTCACTTTAATGCCAAGCTACCAAACAAAACGTTTGAAATTAAATAACATGGACGTTATTGCTAACCTGATGGTAGAAGACACAGGACTTGAAGGAATTTGGGACCGGTGGTTCGAGGGCAAATCACTGGAGCATGTGGTGTTCTTGAAAATGTCGCTGGTGCTCAAACCGGCTTGGGGAAAAACTACGCTGTTTTGAGTAACACCGAATAAATCAATCTCTTCTTCATTCATAATCCCTGGAAAAAAACAGGTAATTTACAGAGACCAAGAGCCAATTTAACGCCATATTAGGGTTGGGCAGACTTCCTAGACTGAGCTCAAAATAATCTGATAACATTTTTGTCCTGAAATCTAACCTTATTTGTTCCAAATGTCTCCAACTATGACTGCACTTCCGAAATGCCTTTAGTCCAAATAGTGGTAGACAGTAGCTGCAGTGCACAAGCAAAGGCAGGCTTAGACTAATTGTACGCTACAAGGATGTGAGCTACGAACATAATTGAATGTGATTGTGCATATTAAACGAAAGAGACGTGTATTTAAGCGAATTAGGTGCTTACACTGTAAAATACTTGAACTTTCAGCACATTAGTATAAATGCGTTTAAATAAGTTAAGTAATATCAGTTCGTCGAAGACAAATAGACATATGCATCAGAACTTAGGAGGCACTTCGCACTCATACAACGCAGTGTAGAAATGGCACGGTAGTCAGTGAGGAAAGCGCCAAGAGAGTCGAAAACTTACGTGAACTATAAAATAGAATATAAAATACAAGGGGCCTAACCAGGATATAAGGCATATAAAACCCTTTGCGATTACCCTCCTTAAAGCGTCTTTTGTAATAAAAATGAAACCTACGGTGCACTCAGAACAAATCAATAACGATCGAACTCGCACCACAAAGGAGGACATGAGTTTTACATTCTCAAATAGCATTTACCTTCGTTGATTATGAGACTAAAGGACACGATTGGACTGGATAAATTATGAGGCTGGTACAGCAAAAATGTGTTGTCGAAAGGGAGCGAAGGGGAATCAGAAATCGGAAAGTCAACACACTTCCAGGTTCGACCAATAAGGCTTAAAATAGGCACCTCGTAAGCGAGACACAGATACAAATAGAGCGCGTAGAGAATTGCTCTGTATTAACGCTTCACTGAAAAGTTAGCAAGGCATAAATAAGTTCAAAATATTTTTTCAATGTAAATCATTTTTTAGTTGTTTAATTTTTGAAACTTTTTTAACGTGAGTCTTTAAATGTTTCCATGTTATGGTGTAGCGATGCATAACGGCCCAGACACTTCGGACCACGCCGGCCTCTGCCAATCCTCTGTCTCTTTATGTTCGAATGTCATGTCAGGGAGATGTGCAGCCAACAAGAGACAAACCTGCATGGGAATTGGTATAGAATGAGCGCCGTGGTGGAGTCAAATGGACGGCGCCTGACATGTGGTACTGGCTTAAGATTCCTCAATACAGCCTGTTCTGCTGTATCAGTCTCCTTCATACTAAGGCTCGAGTATTTCACAATGGTTAAACGCGACGCATAAAGGCGCTGACATTTTGGACCACGGCGGACCCAGCTAATCCTCTGTCTCTTTGCGTTGCAGTGGCATGAGACTAAGGTATGCTGCCAATTTAGAGACAGATATGTATGCGAAGAAGTTCATAACGAGCCGTGCAGCCATCATGTTGGCGTAACATGTCAGGACATGATTAGAGAGGGTAGGGACAGTTATCCATATTTATTCGTACAAAAATACGGATAGGAATCTCTAGTATAAATTTAACTCTCAATATGAGCAAGGGGTCTGCTTAAATAGTTGGTCCGGGTTGCTCGTGTCCACCCATTGGCTCCGAGTTGGCTTCTAGAAATAGAAAATCAAGCTCACGAGGCGATTAGATATTAGGGCTCTGGCGCTCCATTTGAAGCGCCACAGCCCCATGCAACCGGAAGTCACGCCACCTCTCACGTGATGCCGCCGTCACGGCGCGCCGCTGGCCCTTGACCGCTGACTGAACACCAAGATATCGGCCCTCTGCCCCAAACGCTACAATGAACTCAAATGGACGGTGCATGACCTTTGTTTCTGGCTTGTGATTGGTTGGTGCAGCCTTGTTTGCTGTATATGAATGCCCGTTTTCAGAGGTATTATCAGGGTTGAACCTGGATTACTAGCAGCGTACATTCTTGGCTGTCATTTTATTTACGTTTAGAATTGATCAACGGACAAATTTGAGTTAAATATTCAGCTTTCAAATAATTGTACTTGTGGTATAACATTGGTTACTGATAAAACTTCCATGGAAAATGTCTTTGCAAAAATAGTAAATGATGCAATATTTCATATCCTGAGGATTCTTTAGCAATGTACCCTCTTGCCACATAAACATCGAATCCACTTAACAATGTGTCGTTGCATCCTTGTACTTCTGGAATCAAACATTTGTGCAACATTACTTTTGCCATTTTATACATCGTTTAATAGCAAATCTATAATGATACTTTTGTTGCTGCAGTACATATTTCGTCGGCGTGTCAATTCTCAATTAACAGCTGTCCTCAGCCTTAGTCCAACCACAGAACTCTAAGTGGTCAAATCTAGTTCTAAATGTATTGTAATTTTTTAAATGTCTTGTGTATGTTTTGAGTTTGAATTGGTGTTAGTTAATTCTCAACGATGCATCTGGACATCGGGAGAAAAGAAGAGGGCTGAAGGGCGATTGGTTTAGGTCTGACACAATTGCATATTCGCCTGACAGAAATGATGTGTCATGGTGAGGCACGCAAAAATAGGTGGCACATACCATTCAGTTTGAGGTGAGCCTAATAGAACAAGCTTTCGTTCTTGAAACTTTGCTGTTTTATGCTGGGTTTTTGCAAAACAGGGCTAATGTAATGAAGGAACCAGGTTAAGTTATTAGTCGTATCAAGAAGCACCGATTTGGGGGTTGAACCCAAATTTGCGTCCTACCTTTGAAGCCTTGATTTCACTAAGTAGATACGTCAGAAGTGTCAAAACATCATTGACGAGGTAGGTTTTGATTGAGGTTGTACACTGGCTGCAAGGTTAGATGTTTGGGACTCACTGGGCAGGAGAATCTACGCACATATGTGCACGCTCAGATGCGTCTAAACAACCAACACACTGCAGCTGAATTGACATTTTGGGGTTCAGTCGAGATCTGGACACTGGAGGTCACATCTGTCCCCTGCTAGGACTGCTGTCAATGGCGATAACGTGGGGAGAATTTTACAAGCAAGCTTCCTCAATGCTAGTTCAAGGTTCACATTGTTCCTAAGCAGCAATTCTTGCAGGACGTGATGACTGACTCTAATTTATGCTCAGTTAAATTTGTTCGAATTTTATTTGTACATTGCCAGCGTTTGTCTCTAAGGCAACCGCCTGTAATTAAATGCACACATGTA